CCCCAAAACCCCAAAACCCCAAAACCCCAAAACCCCAAAACCCCAAAACCCCTTCAAAAGGTTTGAATATTGAATTAGACTGCTTGATTGTCTGAATATTGGTCCTGACCTTCTTCGTCAACGTCTCCGAGACCTGAGCCTTCTCGGTCTCCTTCTGCTTCATAGTTGCCATATTCTCCTTCGGAGATGATGCCACCGTCTCCGGGCTCTGAGTGATCTTTCTGGCTGCCCATTCTGGATGTTCACTCTCTGAGAACGATGATTTCGTTCTGGGCTTTGGAGTATTCCCAGCCTCCGAAAATGAGCAAGTGGGGTCCGATGGCTGTGCTGGTGTGGCCAAACCTGGTTGTAGGAGGCACCCCAATGTATTTGCCTTTATTTCCAGCTCATGTCATTGGTGCTCCAGATCATGAAGTAGTCACTGCTGCCTTCTTTGGGCTCGTGCTTCTCTTTGTTTCCAGAAGTCTTGGTCCACCCTCCGAACATGATGATGTCGGGTCCGCTGATGTCCATTGTGTGATCAAACCTGTGTTCAGGAGGAGTGCCGCTCACTCTCAGTCTAGACCACACAAACGTTTCGGTATCAAGCACTCTGATGTCGTTGAGGTATCACTGCTGGAGAGTAGTCCCAATCTTGTTCTTGGCTTTCTTAATTTTGTCAGCTTTGAACTGGAAGCCTCCGTGAATTACAAGGTTGGTCCCGATGAGAATCGATCAGTGGCCTTTTCTAGGACACGGCGCTGGTCCTGAAGTTGATGGCTGAGACCAAGCCATGATTTCAAGGTCAAGGATGTACACGTCGTTGAAGAACTCTTGGCCGTTCCAGCCTCCGAAGATGAATAGTTTGGTTCCTCCAATGAGGTTGGCAGTGTGATCGAACCTGGCATTTGGAGCACCTCCCCCTTCTGGGCCTTGGAACCACGTCATTGTGACAGGGTCCAGAGCATGGAGGTCTCTGTAAGCAGTGCCTTTAGGACCTTTGCCTCCGAAGATAATGATCCTGGACCCAGCCAAAGCTGCTGAATGGCCATAACGAGGAGGTGGAGGCGTTCCTAAAATTTTAGGCTTAATCCACTTCGAAGCATTCACATCGAGCACATGAGTATCATTTAAGTACACAAAGCCAATTTCTTTACCACTGTAGTAGTGTCCTCCGAATATGACAAGTGAGGCCCCTGTGAGAGTGGCACTGTGGCCTCCTCTGGATCAAGGAGGAACACCTTCGATCTGAGGAAATGCCCACAGCCACTTTCGCTCTTCATCTTCTTCTTGAGCGGGTGCTTCGCTGGGCTCCATATGTTCATGTTCAGAAGGCTCATCAGGGTTTCTCTGGAGAGTGTCGATGATCTCAGGGTTCGACATCTCTGAGTAGATTGGGTTACCTTGTATTCCGTCCATTTTAAATTTTTATAAATATAAAATTAAAGGGGTTTTGGGGTTTTGGGGTTTTGGGGTTTTGGGGTTTTGGGGTTTTGGGGTTTTGGGG